ACACACACACACACACACACACACACACACACACACACACACACACAGCATGTGAGGGAGAACTATTTGAGTGGATGTGCAAAGACACGTGGAGGCACAGACCCCAGAGGCAGCGGGTTAGAACAATCACTCCGCTGGCTGAGAGAGGTGACCCCTAGGCAAGGCCGCCTTCTCTGACCCTCTGTATCTACACTCCTCTGTAAAATGGGATGGCACCATGTTGGAGGTGCAGAGGTTAAAAGTGTGCACACACAACACTCCCTGGTCTGCTTAGCAGGCAGGAAGTGCAAGTATTTGATACCATTACACCATAAAGTAGGGTGATACAGTGTTAAAATGTGAGCCCATGGGGGTGATGGGAATACACCGTAGCTGGCTGCACACACACACACACACACACACACACACACACACACACACACACACAGATTTCCTAGAAGAGAAGGCTCGGCCTTGGGAGGTTTTCATATTTAGTTTTCTTAACACCTAGTGTTTGCAAGAGAAGTAGATTCTCTGCCATCTAATAACAAAGCACCTTTGGGAAGACAGCCTCCATTTGTATTTCTAATTGGGCTGAGGCTCCATCAGTTAACCTGGAATCTGGGCCACCAAGATTCCGTGGCCAGGGCTACGGACCAGCAAGGCCGACCAGCCCTCCCTGCAGCCCAGGACCCCTGGCTCTTAGGTCTCCCTCCATCCATACGCTCTATGGCCCCAGGAAAACTGTGTTATCTGTACCAGTGGATCTCATAACAGCAGGCCCCATCCCCCCCCACGTGCTTCTGGAATTTAAAAAAAAGAAAGAAAAAAAGCACATAATTTGTGGCAAGTGGAGTTCATAATCTGCTAATTTATGACGGTCTCTGCCGACCTGGAGGGCCATTAGAGAGGTAATAAAGGGAGATGTAATTATAGGATCCGGGGCCACTTCAGACACAGCTGCTGTCACTCGGCAGCTCATCCTTCATCCAGCCAGACAGCGTTCCCCGGGAGCAGGCTGTCCAAAGAGCCTCCCTGAAGAGGCCTCTGGGGATCGCGTGCACACGGCAGCCCGGGCTGGGCGGGAGAGGTGACTCCCGATGAAGGCTCTCCTGGTGGAGAGCCAAGGTGGAGTCCAAGCTGCCCTCCAAGGGGAGGGCAGACAACTGGCCGGGATGCAGGGAGACTGCGCTGCCGACAGCCCTAGCAAAGGCTACTGCAGGCACCCGCTCTAATCTCTGGATCGAAGGGACTAAGCGCTCGCTGCCCTCATGACTGGGCTTGCCCTCCAGGAAGATTCAGTACTTGGAAAATTCAACCCAAGGAAAAAACCTGTATTTACAGTAGTGTAACCTCAAAGTGACCCAAACCATAACTGAGCAAACTGTTTTTATTATCAGCCTGTACTCCCAGTACCGAAGAGGCAGAAGGCTCACCACATTTAGAAGCCAGCAGGAGGCTACCTAGTAGCAACCTTGTCTCCAAAAGTAAAATACAAAATGATAAGCCGTCGTCCCCTCCTGGTCCTAGATTTTGCTTCCTGAGATTCTGACAAGTGGGTATGAAAATAAAAAGGTAGAAAATTTCAAAAGGAAACTTATTTTACATTTTAACCTTTGCAACGTTCTGTGGACAGTGATCTGTACCCCTCTGAACCTCTCTGCTCCATGTGGCAACCAGGCCGTTTTCTGGTGTATCCATGCTGTATAGGTTGCCCTCCTGTGCTGTCTGTCACACGAAGCCACCTCCGTTGTGAGTATCTGGATAACACAGTGCACAGATATGCTCAGGTGGACCTCATTTTACTCACTAATGACCCCAAGTGCAGAGGAGAAGCACAGGACATAGAAGAGCAAATAAACTCTAAGGCAGTGATATTATGAAGACACAATACATATTGGTTTTCAGACACGGGAACCTATCAGGTTTCAGGCTTCATGGGGTGGGGCGGTCTCAGATCATCTCTGGTTAATGAGTGGGCACCCCCACAACTGTCTAAGCCACATCTCGGGGAGGGAGCCACTGTCCAGCGCTTACTCGGCAAGGATGAACTACATTCCATGTGCCGGCTGGTGGACTACAGGCTGAAGACACCGAAGCTTGAGTCACAATCCTGTGTCTAAAGAGAAGTACAGAACTCTAGTCCCGGGCAGTCTGAAATCCTGCCTTCTGAGTGTTCCTGACCAGAATGGACGGCATGGTTTTGGGGCAGGCTCTAACCTGTTACCCCCTTAACCAGCCTTCAAGCGCTTTCTCTTTTCGGGGAGCCTGTCTCCCATATGATTGGAAGTAGGATTGAGTCAACACTTTAAAACTACCGGACAGGGGGCTAGAAAGGAGGTTATTAGCAAGGTCACTTGCAGCTCCTAGAGAGGGCTCAGGGTAGATTCCCAGTACCCAGGTGGAGGGTCACTGTCATTTGTAACTCCAGTTCTAGGGGATCTGACACCCTCTTCTGGCTTCCCTGGGCACTGTAGGCACACAGTGACAGGTTTACATGCAGGAAAATACCTACCCATAGACAGAAAGATTAAAAACAACAACAACAAAAACAACTTGGTCTGTCCTTGTCCTTAGTGTGAGGTTTACAAAACGGTGGCAGAAGACCCTTACTTTACCTTAAACTCTAGAAGGTCAAGTACAAGTGATTCAACATGCAGATTTATGCAAAGTAGGCAAGTGAGTGTATAGGACAAACAAGTGAGCCTTGGCTTGCTTACTTCCTCTTATTTCTGGTTTGGGTTTCTTGAGGCAGGGCGCCTTTTGCTGGGCAGCCCTGGCTGGCCTGTGCAGATTGACCTGAAACTTATGGCAGACCCACCGCCCAGCTTGCAGAGTGCTGAGATCAAAGGCGTGAGCCACCTCACTCAGCAGTTTCTAACCCACAGGAATCCTGCTTCGGAGATGAAATGCCAGTGCCCAGGAGGCTTCTATCACTGTTGGTAATAACTCTGACAACCATGGTAGGTACGGCAGTTTTTGAATGTGCAACCTCCTCCCGGGGGCTGCCTAGTGGAGGCTACTGTGATTCCCATTTTACAGATGGGAACACTGAAGCTCAGAAAAAGCTCACAGAAGGTCACTAAGGGCAGGGCTGGGACAGGAGCCCTGTTTGTCTAGCTCCAAAGCAACCACCCTGGCTTGCCTGTCCCTCTTATTTGGCACAGATGTGAAAAACATGAGGAGGGAGGCTCAAATCTCCTGGACAGTCCTTACCCCCAGGTGTTAACGGGGTAATCGCAACAGAAGGAAGTTGTACCGATCTGGGGGACCGCCAGGCGCCACTCCTGAGTCATCCCTCTGGTACTGCACACATCTGACCGGGAATAGTAGCCTCGAGGGCTGGGCTGGGCTCGGGTGGCTGTGCCCAATTTGGCTTGGGGTTAGTGGAGCAATCCAGGCTGAGGTGTCTTAAGCATCAGCCTGACGACACATCTGTCCTGAGTCAGCAAGGGGCGGATTTCAAAAGCTACCGAGTGTATAATCCCAGGAGCCTGAGCTTCTTACAGAGGACGTACTGGCCAGGCTCCTGGTGAACCCACCCAGGGGTCAGAGTGCCAGGAGTCCACTTCAGAAACCTCCAGGCTTCCCCAAGGTTAGTGTCAGCAAGAGCATCTCCAGCCCCTGTCTGTCCACAAGTTGGCGCCCTCTGGTAGCACTTGATTCACCTCAATCAACTAAAGGCTGGCATCCATAGGCTAGGAGGCTTCTGCTGTATGTTACCATACGAGCTATGCTCATGTTTGGGGCCACCGTGGAATAAAAAAATAAAATAGCAATCCATAGAGAGAAAGAAGAACCCATGTGCCACAGAGCTAGAGAGAGTCCACAGGGGAGGTGTTCACCGCATGTCTCCAACACAAAGAAGCCAAGTGCTAAATAAAGCACAGGGTCAAGGTCCCCTGTGTGCATTACATAGAATTACACAGGCTCCCACTGTTCGCCCATGTACACTCACAGATTGGTTCACAGCGGGGCCTGGGTCCAGAGAATGAGAGGCCCTAGGGCCTGAAACACTTCCTGCCACCGAAGCCGTGGAATCTCAACGGTGAGGCTAGGCAGAAATCCAGCAGGTAGCCATGGCGAGCACGCAAGCAACGTCGGCACACGCCAGATTCCACCACTGGAACTCACAATCTCATTTCAGCCTTGTTTGTTAGACCGAAAAGGTCACGGCCTCACACTCCCATGTTATAGGTCAAGGGACAGACACTCGGGTCACGTGGCTTCTGGGCCTAGAACCTGCATCTGACCTAACTCCCCAAGGCCCTGCTGCTAACTCTGCCCACAGCTAATGTTACAAACGAGCTGTTTTCCATTGTCATTCCAGTGAACTCTACAGGAAAAGCCTACTGTTTTTTCTTGTGGGTTCAAGGGAGTTGCTCTTTGAATATTACCAACTGTGGGCCCTATTACAGCTCCTACTGTGATGACAAGTGGGTCTGATGAGGCCCTGGCAGTTCAAGAGTATTATTGAACCTTCCAAATGTTACTCTCCTTGATCCCACAAAAGAGAAAGGGGCCTCTACAAAAGCAGGCTGGCAGAGATCTTCTAGGCCTCATTGGGTCCGGGAGCAGGCATCAAAGGCCAGGGTGAGCCTAGAGCCCCTTACCCACTCTTGCTCCCAACCCACCATGACTCACCTGGGATGTGCTTGGCCCAGCCAATGATGACCACAAGCTCCCGATCTGCCAAGTCACAGAGAGTGGTCAGGGCCTTGATGTCTCCCTCAGGGATATCGGCAGGAGGCGTGGCATACAGCTTCTCCGGCTCCGCCACCAGTAGATAGGAGACGATCCTAGTCACTGTGAAGACCAAACAGGGAGCAACTACTGAATGCCTGGGGAAGAGGAAAGGGTAGAGACAGAGCCCGTGGGAAGGTCAAATGTGGCTGGGGTCTGTCCTCATCACAAAGTTGCTAGCAACAGGGATGTATCCTGCAATGGGAAGCTGCTCAGAGAACCCTGAACAGGAGCTCTAGGAGGGTTGCTATGGGAACAAGGTCTGGGTGCTGGGACCCTCATTTCACATGGAGGCCGGTTTTGTGCCATCCCATACAGACAGTCCTTCCGGTGAAGCCAAGCAACGCGGGGCACTACTGGCCATCTTTAGATTCACACGGCCCACCACCCAGTGGAGGAAGACAGAATCGCCCCAGGAAGATGCCAGGTATTCTAGGCTGAGAGGGGCAGTGGGGCCTGCCTGGTACGCACATGGCTTCTTAGCAGGTGGGGAAATCTGTAAGCTCAGGTAGGGGCTGTTCTCCGAATCCAGCCGCCGCTTGTACTTCTGACGGCCTCCACGAACTCGGTCAAGGCGCACACCTGTGTCAGACAAGAAAGACACTGGCATCAACAGCCAAATCTCCAGGGGGACAGGCCCTGACCTTAGAACTGCAGCCCTGCCTAAGGGCTTCAGGGCCATGCCCAGGTGGCCAACCTCACAGCAAAAGATGGGGCCATTTCAAGTAGCAGCCCATCCCGTGGGCCAGCCTGGTCCTGCCTCTCCAGGTACAGCTTTGTCCTAGAGTCAATCACCTTGAGACATCTATCCTCCAAGCTCTCACTTGAGGGAACAACAAAACCCTCTGCCAAGCAGGTGTCCCTACCTCAGTTCTGCATCCTGGGGGGGGCTAGAGATGTAGGTCAGTTGGTACAGGGTTGCCTGGCACGTGCAAAGCCCTGGGTCTGAGCCCTAGCACTGCATTTTTAAAATAAAACAAACGATGGGTATGGCTGCTGGCAGCACATGCCTGTAATCCCAGCCCTTGGGAGAAGACACAAGGATCAGGAATCCACGGTCCTCTTCAACAGACACAGGGAATTTACAACCAGCCTGGGCTACATGAGACTGTAAAAGACAGATGAGGAGGGAGTGCTCAGAGAAACAAGGTTACTGCCTCGTAGCTGCCTCTGCGGCTAAGTTCTTCTGCCGTCCTTTTCCCCTGAAGGCAAGAGCATCCCACCTCAAGGCCTGCCCTTCTCTTTTCCAGGAGGACTTGCAGATGTGAAAACAGAGATGTGAGCTGTCCTCAGCAGTCCTAGCCTGACCACTCGACTCAGACCACTCTGGGGAAGAGAAAGCTGAACTGGTCACTTGACAGGATGATTTACATCTCATTCACGCCTCGGGCTACTTCTTTGATAATGTATACAACTAGTTATGTACCAACAGTCCAAAGGGAAAAGAGGAAGTTGCCGAGAGATGGGAGCAATTGAAAGTGAAATGGTTTCATAGGTGGGACAATGAGCGGCCTTTGGGCCTGAGGAGTGGTGGAGACACCCACACACCCACACCCAGTTTCCAATTAAAAGGCTGCAAACCCACACACATCCTCTCCCTAAGGGGAAAAAGAAGGTGCTGGAGCTAAGGTGAGCCTGAGCCAAACTCAACAGGCCCCTTAGGGAACTGTTTCTTACAGAGCTAGTTACTTCTCAGCCACACCTAGCCCAGGCTGGCCAACAAAACTGACCAGGAAGTGATCTTCCTGCTTCGGCCTCCCAAAGCAAAGATGGCAGGCTTGTGCCACCACACCCAGTTTGCACAATGCAGGGGATTGAACCCAGGGCTCCTTTTGTGCTTAGAAAAGTGCTCTACAAAGAAGTTACGTTTTCAGCTCGTCGTCAGCCTTTTGAACATAAGCTGGAGCCTCTGACAAGTACTTAATGGTAACTGTCATATGGAGGGCCATCTTCTTCAGGTCCTGTGCTGCACTCCCACTACCCTTAGAGCCGAGATGATGAGTCCCTGACAATGGCCCATTGGATGGGAAGGAAGAAGGATACAGAGTGTGTAGGCAGCCCCCGACTCATACCTCATCCCTAGGCACTCTGGGATCTGCTGGGTTCTAAGCCTGGTCCTTGGACCTCCTGAGAAGCTGCTAACAACTCCCCACCTCTGTTTAGAAGGTCAAATGGTTGTAACTGACCTCGTGTACTCATTTCTCTGGGAGCAAAGGACGTATATGCAAGAAGCTGTGTGTGAGGGAGAGAGGAAAGGACTGTTCTGGATCCTGTTACTAGCTGTGTCGCTCAAGCTGCTGGTGTTCTGCAGTCACTGACAGCCTGGTGGTATGGCCTTGGTGGCTTATCCACCAGTTATCAGCAGAACGTTGCAATGAAACTTTTGCAAGCCCCACCTGCCCAGGCTTGAGCCATCTGCTGGCCAAAGCTCTGGGACAGAACGGGGGGGGGGGTGGTCACAGGATGTTAGATCAGCACACACAGGATGGCTAGTGCTGACAGAGGTGAGGAGTGGTCCCCTCAAAGTAGCACCTGGGGCCTGTTAGAAGAGCAAATTTCTCAGGCCCTAGACAGAAGGAGCAAATACGCCTGTTCCCCTCCCTCTTACACACTCTCATGTACCCCCAGCTGGCCTCCAAACTGCCTCCAAACCCTGAACTTCTGATTCTCCTGCCTCTATCTCCCCGGTGCTGGGATGGCAGGCATGTGGCACCATACATTTTATGCAATGCTGGGGTTCGAATCCAGGGCTTTGTGCATGCTAGGTAAAAACTCCACTAACCAAGCTGTACCCCCAGAATAAGCACCTTATTAAGATGAGCCTACAATGTGCAGTGCCTGTGAGCACTGACCCGGGGCCCTTTGATGGACCTGCTCTAGCTTCCACCTCCGCCACATCCTAGATGTAAGGGGACGCAGGAAACAGCTCAATTCCCCAACACTGACCTTTGTGCCTCCTGAACTCCCCTCTCATAGAGGCAGACAAACAACTAGATAGGAGACTCCTGTTTACTGTTCTCCCACTTGAACTACGACCAGCCTATGCCTTGAAATGCCAACACAGTCGAGAGTCAAACCCTACTGCATTCACAGAGGACAGTGAGAGCCCACGGACACCTTCCACATGCCAGAGGCTGATATGCTCTCTCGTTCTTGAGTCCAAAAAAGGCCTGCCCACTTCTTTCCCCCAGAAGCCACTCTGAGTGATTCCCCTCTTCCACTAGCCCACCTAACCCTAAGGTGGCTGTCAGCTAGAGAGAGCTTTGAAACAGCAAAAAAATGGGCAGCTGCGAGCTCCGCTGATGTTCCTTCTGGAATGTTCTCTGACTTGATTAAAGGCCTTCGTCGTGGCTGGTCAAGAAGGACCTAATAAAGAGGGCACCATCCACATTCTACACATATGTGGAGTGGCTATGATTACCCTCATTTAACAAATAAGAACAGGCTGAGGGTCAAGCTAGTTTGCCCAGTTAGAGTTCCTACGCCTTCTAAGGACACTTCTCAAATACTCAAACTCTCCTCTGCACTCCTCCTCCAGATCTTCATAGCCAGACAGCCAGGGCCTCCAAAGGACGGATGTGTCAACTGTCACGTCATCTTCTCTGGTTGGGGCTCATCAAGGACTGCACACGAAGGACTTGTACAAAATGGGTCTGTTCCCACGGTTTTTAAACTCTTGCCCAAATTCAAACCTAGGAAGCCTAAGAACCGTGACCTAGGACACCCAGTAGTCATGTTCAGGTTGATCTAGCTCCTGACACATAATACTTCAGTGTCATTCTCCGGTGGGGCAATGGTCAAACCCACTCTGCCAGAGTCCCTTTCCCGACAACTGACCTTGAGGTGGGGGTGCTGCACAGCAGTCCCAGCAGACCGGGTGCAGCAGGCTCCCTCTGCTGCTTCCAGGGTCACCACCACAGGCTTGATCCCATCATGCCTTCCTGCTCTTCAGGGCGGTGGGGTCTAGACTCCCTACAGCCCAGCACCACACTGGTCAGGGTTTGCTAATGGTCATTTGGAGTGCAGGGACACGGCCTGTGCTTCTCTCGCTCTGTGGAGCACAGTCGGCGCCAACTCCAAACCCAATGACCTTGGTCTTCTTGCCCAGTGCTTGACAACCTCAACTCTGCAGTTGAGTACCACCAGTTATAGAAAGCAACCCCATAAATCAGGTGTGCTGGTGCCTGCCTGTAATACCAGCACTTGGAGAGCAAAGGCAGGAAGAGCCACACTTCAAGGTCGTGTTCAGCGATACAGCCAAGTCTGAGGCTAGTCTAGGCTACAAGGGACAGGATAGAAAGCATCTTCATTTGCTGATGCTTAAACGACTGGATAGCAGAGAGTGTGGCAGTGAAGAGTCATCGCCACTGACCCAATGGACAGTTCTAAATTAGGATGTGATTTCAAAACATCAGCTGGGGAGAGAGAAAATGGAGTCTTGAAGTAAGAATGCCTTATTGTTTGTGTACTTATATTAGCAAAATACCCAAAAAGCAGTCAGCAAGTGCAATTAAAATACTAATTAACTTACAGTTGCCATCTAAGATTATTCAATCCTATCACTTCAGTGAGACTTTCCAAAGATAAAAAGTTTTAATAACGCTAGTATGGAAATCATTGATCTCCAAATACTTAACACATGGCCCTTGTTTTAACTTCTGTTGGATACTGTTTAACCCCTTCAGATGCACAGAGAAGTTTATTGATTAGGCAGTATCTCATGAATATATTAAAAAAAAAAGACTGGTTAAAAATAAATCAATGCAATTTATAGTCATAGCAGTGTATAGCCATGGGCGAACAAGCTCCTGGAGTTTTGGTCAGATCTAGAGCCCTGGACAAGTGTGATAAATTTCTAGCATAAACAGAGGGCACGAGTAGTGGCCAAGGGCAGATCTGGGCAAACCTGGCTTCCCGAGTGGTATTAGGTAAGCGTCTTCACTTCTTGGACTCTAAGATGGGGTCACAGTGCCTATTTCACAAGGCTAAGACCACCTCATTTAATCCTCAGGTCAATTCACATGAGCATCTGAAAAACCTTTGATGGCGAACAATAATTGTCAAGTAAATGCTAACTAATGCCACTACTAAAAATCCCTCATCCTTAATGAGGTCTCTGCTGTTACCAACGCCAGCATCTTAATTGTAGTGTTCTATTTTCAAGACACTGGGCCGGGGAAACCTAGTGAAAGGTACATGGAATCACTCTGTAGTTTCTAACAACTTTAACTCAATGATCTCAAAATGCAAAGTTTAAAAACTTCTGGAAAATTCTGGTGGCGGTATAGAAGGGGGAGATATAGAAGGGTGATGTGTTGGTCATTCAAAAAACTACCCAGAAGCACCACAAATCCGACTCCTGGGTTTCCACCCCAGTTGTCCAGTTCTACCTTGGAGGCTTCTGGAGTCAAGGTCAAGGTCAGACACAGAAAGCAGGCTGGAGACTGGGGAGGAAGACTCCAGAATGAAGAGTTAGTGTGTCCTGGATCCCATTTGTAGAAAGTGTGTGTATGTGGGAGGGGAAGGGTTGTATATCAATCACAGCATGTAAAAAAGGCTGAGGCAGGAGGAGATCAACCTGA